CACGGTCCAAACAAACATAGTGAGCAACTGAGCTACTAGTATATGTCCGTGTTAAAACACACGAAAGGACTCTCAAGCACACTTCACTCTGATTGGGCAGAAAAACACAAAGATTTTCTGGCACCAATCAGATGGCAGAACGACTGCGACCGTTTGGAACTGGTCTTGTAAGACAATGTCCCCAGGGGCTCTTCACGCCCTAACTTGAAATCGACCCACAACCCCTGGGTCTCCGAGGATGCATGAAACTTAACCTTAAACATAAAAAAAAAACTCTGTGGTGAAACGCTAAGTCTACTCTATCCTGATGTTTTACCGGTTGTTAATCGTCATTAAAATTGTTTCTATATCAAATTTAAGGTAATCACACCAAGAAGGATGGCGGTGGATTAAAAACGAGACGAAAGTCCAAGGAAACAGACGAGGCAAATACAGGTTAGTTTATGATGATACTCTCATTGTCCAGGTTTTTTCGAGACACGGTTAACACAAGTCGTTGACCTTAATCTTAATCTTCGTGGCACTTAAGTCTTTTTACTCTCAATTTTTCTTTTCCTAGTCCAAAGAATGGTCAGTAGAAGGAAAAAAATGAAATAAAATGATTAATAATTCTGCATACTGTCTGCCCTACATTCTTCTTATGATGTTAGTTAGCGAATTTGTTATTGGATCAACTGATAATCCCTGGAATAACTGATATCTTTCTTTATTCTCAGCACCTGTTTACTTAATATTGTACTGATACTGCGAGGAGAAATTCTGTCTTGGTCAATCATGGGAGCGAAAGGTTTTAAATGTCTCAACAAAAACTCGCTGGAAAGTTTTTGTCTGAAATGAAAAAAGAAAATCAAGGATTTGCTCAAATACGTTTTGAACGTCAATTTACGAATACGGGTGGCCAGTTGCAGTTTACACCTTTTTTCCTTTGGAATTCTATCATACTACAACGGGTGATTCTTTTAAGAAAACATTTATGAAAACCTGTAAAACGTTGATCAATGTACAGAGTTTAAAAAGAGAGACATCAAAAAGCGGTTTCCATAACAATTTAACAAGCGGTGACTTTGAACTTGCTCTCCCTTTTTTTCTTTCGTAGTAGACCAATGTCAGTGTCAAAGTAACTGCGCAGCTACCCCTCCCTTAACCCAATAATAACCCTAACCGGTTACCAATTGACGGTCGTTGGGTAAAGGGAGGGGAGGGGAGGGGAGGGGAGGGGTAGGTGCGTAGTTCCTTGGATACTGAGTTTAATCCTCTTTTGTTTACTTTGGAACAAAAATAGCGTGGCGCGTTTCGTTATGAAGATATTTCTCTCAAAGGAGGTTAAAAACCAATCACCTCGTTTGTGTCTTGGTATCTTAAATGTTCTTATTCTACGTTCTTTGTAGACTTGAGCCGTGCGCAATTTTCAAGATGAAAAAAAGGAAGTAAACTCTACGAGCCTTCTTGATATTGCACTTATTGACCTCAAAGAAAACATGGAAATATATTTTATCAATATATTGATAAGGACACGTTGAGCGACTAGTATGTTTTAAGTTTCGATCAGAATTTCTAAAGTCTTCGAGGTATACTCTTGGGAGAAGTCAAAAACATCCACCACCTAAAGAAAGTCGACGTTTCATCAGAGTAATTCAAGAGAATTTGAACTTATTTTCGTCTGAGTGGCGACAGAGAAGAACATGTAAAAGTTTTCGAAGATAGGACAAGGAATGCAAATTACTTGTGAAGTCTCTTTCAAATATAGAGAGGGGCTAGGTATGAAATCTACGGGAAGCAACACAAGGTGTGATTCTTGCCGTTGGCGTTCAAAAGTTTTGAACGTAAAACTAAAACATCTGGATTAGCTGATTTTTTCCCCCGCATTTTACTTGAAACTCCCTTTGTTTGTTTGAATTGATATTTCAACTCGCTCGTTTAGGTTGGTTGCTGCTGTGGTCAGTTTGTTTTAGATTTTGTCTTCACTAAGTTTTCGAATGTTTTTCTAATTATCCCTTTTGGTCGACACACAAAAGCTTTAGAGCTTATCGAAAAGTCTGACCAAACTCTCAGTCAGTCTTCTAGGCTTTTCTTCTCTCCAAACTACTTGACCCGCTTGAATTTTTTTAACCGTCTGATAAAAATTTTCTGCGAAAATGTAAGTTGCTTCCGGTG